TGTGTGTGTGTGTGTGTGTGTGTGTGTGTGTGTGTGTGTGTGTGTGTAGTTTCAACATCAAGTTCCCTATGCCCCCCAGGCCTTTAAGGTTCCATAACATCCCTCTGACACTTTCTACCACTTTTTCCTGGAATCTGTCAAGGATTATTTCAATTATTGTGATGATGACGGAGATAAATGAGTCAGTGTTTTTTAACTGCCTGTACCCTACATGAAAGCAGAAACTATGTATTATATCTTTCTGAAACTCTATATCTGAATTTTTTACCTGAGATCTGGTTAGTTTGTAAGTATCTTATGGAACTCCTTGATAACACTGTAGATAATGATGCTGATGACTGTAGAGAAGGAAGAGGGGAAGAAGGGAGAGGAGGGGGAAAGGTGTGGACAGGGAAGGGGAAACCTCAGAGAGGAAGGCCAGAAAGAAAAAAATAGTAAATAAAAGCAATTAAAAGGCAAACTGAGAAAGTGGAAATAGAAATTTTGTTATGGTTGCATTAATTTATTTTTAATTAATGTGTTTACACTTTGATCCTTCTTTGCTAATTACCTCTTTCATATCTATTTGATTTCTTGTTGGGAAGAATATCCCTGACTTCTTAGAAATACATGTCTTGAGACTATTTTCCCTTGAAAGTCTCTTGCTAGGATCTTGCTGATGAGGTTCATTCTTCAGAGAAAGATGCCCCCAGGAAGGGGAGTCAGGAAGAGGAAAAGGCACATATGTAGCAGCGTTAACCTGTGGCTCAGTCTTGGTAAACACTGTTTTGAGTGTTCATGTTGCTGGTCTGGGGTTCCCTTTAAAGGTGAATGGGAGATACTGGACACGCAAAGTTTGCCAAGTGCCTGAGAGTCATTTCTCTCCATTTAGTGGGATAGTCGACTCTAATCAGAGTAGACAAATAGTGTATCTACCAGGATGATTCATTTTGTTGGTGTATATGATATTAATAAAGACATTGTCTATCAAATTATTCACGCAGAAAGAAATTGTGATGAACTCAATTTCTGTCCAAGCAAACTATTAGTTTTTCGGTACTGGACAACAAACCCCATAGCAGTTGCCTAACACTGAAGGATCAGTAAGGCACACAGATGGGACTTCTTAGAGAGGGTTACAAAACACAAATTAAACATTGCAGATTTTTCACTTGGCAGCATCATATCATATCTGTTGATATGTAATATCCAAATACACAAAACTAAAAGTTGCAGTGATCATTGGATTTTGTGCACATAGCCTTAGCCAGAATTTAGTTTTATGAATAAACGTAATTGAAAAATGGTCTAATTCTTAACAATAAGCACTTTTTAAGTGTTCTTTTAGCCACTGTTAGTTTTTAAACTTTATTTTGGAGTTTTAGTGTCACGTGCAGTACAACAAAATCCAATTTCTTCCTGTTTTCTCAAACTAGTCTGGG